TCAAAAAGCATTTCTAATTAATATATAATGGAAGTCATACAATTTAACAGCAATTTATTAAAACTTTTTTTTTCAGTCCCTAATAAATCAGTTTTTTTTCCAAATTCTGGTTTTTAGCCATAAATATTAGTATTGTGATTTTAACAGTTGTTATATAAAATTATTATATTATTTTTCTTTATATTTTAGTTAATTGAAAATTATATTTCTTTATTTTTTATTATTATATTATTTTTTTTATTTTACAGTAATGCTCAAAATGCTATATCTTTATTTTTAGTCCCTGGTTGGTGCTTAATAAAGCTAGTGATGTTTTTTATTTTTATACTTACAGTGTAGTACTTTCATTAAATGCACCTACATTTACACTTTCTCTAAAGATATTTTCTCTAAAGTAACAGTCAGTACAGGAATTTATATTTTCCTGACTTTATCTTTGCAACATCAACATGTTATTGAACTGAACTGAATAAGCATAGAACAGAATTGAGCTGAATAATGTCTTCATTTACAGAAGACATGATTGTCTTCTGTAGAGCTGCTTTATAATTGAATTCATTTCATAATCATTGATGAATTTTGCCACATGGACACTGTGACGAGAGGGGCGGGGGCGGGGCCTCGAGTCCCATGGAGGAGCTCCGGAAGGATAAAAGGAGGAGTTATGACAGTGTTGGACGAGAGAGGACCAGGCCTGGACTTTATTTTGTGTTTTGGTTCTGTTTGTGCGCGACAGTCGTCCGCGAGGGGCTGTCGCACTATTTTGTGTTTATTTTATTATTAAAGTTTTCTTTGAACGTTCGCCGGTTCCCGCCTCCTTCTTCCCGTGACTACGAACTGTGTTCCAGACACTCTTATTGAACTGATTTGAATCAACATTGAACTGAATTGAGCTGAAGAAAGACACTATTGTCTGTTGTAGAGCTGCTTTACAGCTGAAATAAAATGTTGTTTATAATTGGTGAATTTTGGAACTTTAGTACTAGGGTTGGGTATCGTTTGAATTTGATCGATTCTGATTCCGGTTCCGCTTATCGATTCCGATTCTTATCGATTCCTAATTCCGATTCCAATAAGATAAAAAAAAACCCATTCAACAAATTTGACGTCAAATATTTAGATGTCAAACATATTTATTCTGTTTTATGTCTATGGTTTTATCAAAAAAATACCACAGAAAAAAAACAACTAGACTAATATAAATTTACATTAACATTAAATTGTTAAAGACAAGTAAACAAATTAATTAGCAATAGCATAAATAAATAAAACTGAACAAATGTCAGGTACAGAAATTGAAATCAAAAGTTTAAAAACATTGTATAGTTTTCTTTTCATAAATAAAATATGGATTAATCCTCATTAAATTTACGAAAGATGTTCAGTCAGTTAATGATTTTCTTTTGTTCTTTGATTAACATTAATGATAGGCAGCACGTTTATTAGACGGCACACACCGATCTAAAAATTCTGTTACACATGCGTTTTCTTTCTCATCTGTTTACGTTCACTTAAGACAAAAAAACGGCTGTGTTTATGATGATATACCGACGTATTTCGTGCATACTGGTCGATAAATGTGAAAGAGAAGTCAGTTCTGGCCCGGAACAACCTTTGTGGAAATGCACGGAACAGTTCGAGAACGGACACAGGTCGGGAACCTGCATCGGGACCACTGTTCTCTGTGCTCGCGCTTCAGATGTGTGCGCTGCACGCAAACAGTGTGCAAGTTCTTTCCCTTCCTGCACTTAAATAGTTTAAAATCACATTAAAATGCGAACGCGCGAATCATTAAGCGGAATCGAAATGAACACGTCGTATCGAATACCCGATTATTGGACATTTGGAACCGGTTCTAAAATGGAACCGGTTCTCGATACCCAACCCTATAATTAGTACTGTTATTTTCCTGTTTATTGCTGCTTTGAAACAAATTATGTTGTACAAAGTCAACATTTATTTATTTACTGAAATAAATGTGATTTGATGTCAGGGGACCACAAGACTGAAAACAATTTAGTATATATAATTTAATAAATAATTTAATTATTTTAATTCACCCCCTCAGCAACTGGTTTTATTTATTTATTTATTTAAGAACCAAGATTCCCACCATCTTCAAAAACCTGCATTTATTTTGAAAATGTGATTTTTAGACTTATGAGATTTATTAATTTACATGACTTTTCCATCTCAATGGCCATTTTTATAAAGCATATACTTTTTTCTATTTATGCCAAGCTCTAAAGCATTGTATCATGTAGAAATTGTAATAATAGTTAATAGTTTTAAAAATCCTTATCTTTAATCCTTATCCAATAAATCGCAAACAAATAGAAAAGTCATGGGGCCTTTAAATGTTTTTGTGGACCGGTATTATAGTTAACTAAAACTAGAACCATAAAAAAGTCCCAACCTGAAATAAAATAAAATAAAATATTAAATATAAAAAAAATAAACCTTTTAATTTCAGCTAGCAACATTTCTCATTTTAATTTAGTTTAACTTTATGTACTAAAATTAAAATGGTAACACCTGTAAAAAAAAAAAAACTAAATTACTAAAACTTGATCTAAAATTTTAAAGCAGAAAATATAAAAAGAAAACTAATTTAAAACTGTAATAGTATATTATCTATATATATTATATCTTTATTTGACCCTCTAACTCTAGCACTCTCTATTCTAATTCTGTTCTTAAAAAAAAACTTGTCCCTTTTAGACTTGCACTCTATTAATGTGCTGCTTGTTTTCTTTATGTAAAAAAAAACTAACACTAGCTTTCTAATCTTTTTGTATTCTATCTGTTTTCTTTTCATTTATTATACAATTAACAAAAGCAAAAAAGACCTCTAACACTAGCTTGCTCTATTCTTTTTCTATTCTATTTGTTTTCTTTTTATTTATTATATTATTTAAAAAACCCTTGCTACGTGTGCTGCATTAAGCTAACTGAGACTTGTTATAGCACTTGTGTATCATTGCTCTTTTGTTGATTTTGATTGCTTCCATCGTCCTCATCTGTAAGTCGCTTTGGATAAACAAGTAAACAAATTAATTAGCAATAGCATAAATAAATAAAACTGAACAAATGTCAGGTACAGAAATTGAAATCAAAAGTTTAAAAACATTGTATAGTTTTCTTTTCATAAATAAAATATGGATTAATCCTCATTAAATTTACGAAAGATGTTCAGTCAGTTAATGATTTTCTTTTGTTCTTTGATTAACATTAATGATAGGCAGCACGTTTATTAGACGGCACACACCGATCTAAAAATTCTGTTACACATGCGTTTTCTTTCTCATCTGTTTACGTTCACTTAAGACAAAAAAACGGCTGTGTTTATGATGATATACCGACGTATTTCGTGCATACTGGTCGATAAATGTGAAAGAGAAGTCAGTTCTGGCCCGGAACAACCTTTGTGGAAATGCACGGAACAGTTCGAGAACGGACTCGGGTCGGGAACCTGGAACCACTGTTCTCTGTGCTCGCGCTTCAGACGTGTGCGCAAGTTATTTCCCTTCCTGCACTTAAATAGTTTAAAATCACATTAAAATGCGAACGCAGGAATCGTTAAGCGGAATCGAAATGCACATGTCTTCTCGAATACCCGATTATTGGAAATTTGGAACCGGTTCTAAAATGGAACCGGTTCTCGATACCCAACCCTATAATTAGTACTGTTATTTTCCTGTTTATTGCTGCTTTGAAACAAATTATGTTGTACAAAGTCAACATTTATTTATTTACTGAAATAAATGTGATTTGATGTCAGGGGACCACAAGACTGAAAACAATTTAGTATATATAATTTAATAAATAATTTAATTATTTTAATTCACCCCCTCAGCAACTGGTTTTATTTATTTATTTATTTAAGAACCAAGATTCCCACCATCTTCAAAAACCTGCATTTATTTTGAAAATGTGATTTTTAGACTTATGAGATTTATTAATTTACATGACTTTTCCATCTCAATGGCCATTTTTATAAAGCATATACTTTTTTCTATTTATGCCAAGCTCTAAAGCATTGTATCATGTAGAAATTGTAATAATAGTTAATAGTTTTAAAAATCCTTATCTTTAATCCTTATCCAATAAATCGCAAACAAATAGAAAAGTCATGGGGCCTTTAAATGTTTTTGTGGACCGGTATTATAGTTAACTAAAACTAGAACCATAAAAAAGTCCCAACCTGAAATAAAATAAAATAAAATATTAAATATAAAAAAAATAAACCTTTTAATTTCAGCTAGCAACATTTCTCATTTTAATTTAGTTTAACTTTATGTACTAAAATTAAAATGGTAACACCTGTAAAAAAAAAAAAACTAAATTACTAAAACTTGATCTAAAATTTTAAAGCAGAAAATATAAAAAGAAAACTAATTTAAAACTGTAATAGTATATTATCTATATATATTATATCTTTATTTGACCCTCTAACTCTAGCACTCTCTATTCTAATTCTGTTCTTAAAAAAAAACTTGTCCCTTTTAGACTTGCACTCTATTAATGTGCTGCTTGTTTTCTTTATGTAAAAAAAAACTAACACTAGCTTTCTAATCTTTTTGTATTCTATCTGTTTTCTTTTCATTTATTATACAATTAACGATACTAAATGGGGGACCTTTGAGTCAAAAAGGTTGAGAGCCACTGAAGTAGTGCTGTCCTGAACTAGTTGAGCTGCAGGAACCTGAAGTAAACTAAATGTAGAGAAAATCAATGATAGTTGTGCATATGAATAATAGAAGAGAGTTTTGATGTGATGTGTTTGTTGTGTTCAGGATCAGCGTGTGGTGGCCAAGCGCTCGGGGCCCGGAGGACTGAGAGACGGAGAGCAGGAGAAGGATCCGGGATCGGGCGTCTTCAGCATCGGGAGAGGAAAGAGACGGCAGCTGCTCGTCACAACGTCAGCAAACATCAAGGTGAGACTGAATCAACCTTCCTCTTGTTCTCTGACTGCATTTTGTCCTGTGAGCTCTTTAAAGTCGACTGAACAAAAGCCATTAGGCACTAGATGTTAGACTCCTTTCAAATCTTCTGTAGAATCTTAGATGTGGGGTTTTTATTTAATAAACTGCTCGTTTTGGGAAAGTCCCATTTTATCTCTTTGATGACTTTGATTACCTTTAATGATGTCATGCAATCTGTTCATACTTCGAACTAGGGCTGAGCAATTAATCTAAATAAAACCTAAATAGTGACATTCTTCCCAAACATGAGAAGCACTTATAAACTAGCTGTTGTCAACAAAAGAGAAGCTTTAAAGGCTCTTTTTGCTTTTCTGCCTAAATAAAAGCTTAATGATTTAACATAAAAAAAAATAAAAAATTATTATTACAGCCATAAATATTAGTATTGTTATTTTACAGTTGTACTGTAAAATACAATTATTTTTACATCATTTTTCTTAAATAGTATTTTTACAGTTGAAATCAGCATTATTTTAGTATCAGTATATTTTTTTCAATTTTAATTAATATTTTGAATTAGTTTTTATTTTTGTTACTTTTATTTTTCTGTTTTTGTTTTCATTTCATTTTTAATAATTTTGTTGTGTTTTTGTCATTTATATTTATTTATTTATTTATTTTAATCTGTCTGTAAAGTTTTTATTAATTTTATTTCATTTTTAGTTTTATTTATTTAGAAAAATGTAATTTTGTCTGAAATGAAATATTTAAATATTTTTATATTTTATTTTATTTCTGTTAAAGTTCATTTTAATTTTATTTGTTTCTATAAAAAATCCTTACTTAAAACAAAACTAAAATCAAATATTAAATGTAACTAAAATAAGATATAAAAAAAAAAACGTATTTTATTTGAACTAGATGCCAAGGCAACATTTCCCATTTTAGTTTAGTTTAACTTGATCTACAAAATAAAAAAAAAAGAAAAGAAAGATACTGCAAAAAAAAACAAAAAAAAAAAACTATATAGACATAATATATAATGTGAACAATTACTATAGTAATTATTTCTTATTTTGTTTAAAATTAAGTAATAATAATAATCATAAAATTAATAACCATTATTATTATAGGTATTATAGAAATACAATCACACAATTTTTGTCCAAATTTGTGCAGCCTTACAAGCAAGCACAGAAAACGAATCACATTTTAAGTCGCAATCGTAATTTCATCACTGTTTTTAAACTACATCATGTAGCCCAACTTTGAATGTTGTCGTCAGCAACTTAATGTCAGCCACAACTCAAGTTAAAGCATGCATTTCAGTGCTGTTAGAGAGTGTTTTATCATGTTGTTTGAGGGGAAGAGGGTGTTCGGTGAAAGAAAGGACAGAAACCGGCCCGTGAGTCCAGCGAGGTTGAAGTCCTGTGCTGAGGAAGAGCTGGAGTCCAACAACACACGAGGAAAACAGCGACCTCAGTCTGCAAAGAGAGTCACGGAGGTGAGCAGATGTGCTTGTGATGTCCTGTCTGATGTGTGTTTAGCAGCATGTGTCTGGGACGCCCTCTTCATTTTGTTCTCAAGCCTTGCTGCTGTAAATAGATTGAGACGGAGCTGATCATAAGAGCCGGGCTCTTGGCAGGTGTTTGTGTGTCTATTCTGCTGTTCTGGTGGATTCCACACATCACCAGCATTTACGCTGTTTCTCTTTTGTTTGTGTTTGTGTATTTTACCTCTGCCTGCTTTACACTACCGTTCAAAAGTTTGGGGTTGACAAGATTTAAAAAAAAAAAAGTCTCTTCTGCTCACCAAGGCTGCATTTATTCGATCAAAAATACAGTAAAAATTCTGAAATATTATTACAATTTCAAATAGCTGTTTTCTATGTGAATATATGTTAAAATGTAATTTATTTATATAATTTTCAGCATCATTACTCCAGGCTTCAGTGTCACATGATTCTTCAGAAATCATTCTAATAATTCTAACTGAAACATTTCAGTTGTGCTGCCGAATATTTTTGTGGAAACAGTGATACATTTTATTTTTCAGGATTCTCTGATGAATAGAAAGTTCAAAGAACAGCATTTATTTGAAATAGAAATCGTTTGTAACATTATAAATGTCTTTGGATGTCATTTTGGATGAATTTTTAATGCATCCCTTGATGGATTCAAAAATGTATTCATTTATTTATTTTAAAAAAAGCATTTTCCTTACTTAAAGTAAAGTTAAAATAAAATAAGACTTAAAAAAATATATATATATTATTATTTTTTTTTTTTAGCATTATAAATGTCTTTACTTTCGATTTTAATCAATTTAATGTGTCCTTGCTGAATAAGTGCTAATTTCCTTTAAAAAAAAACTCTTCTGTAAAATATTAAATACTATAAAGACATAATAAGTGTTAATTTCCTTAAAAAAACATCGTAATGATGCTGTAATTTATTTATATAATTTTCAGCATCATTACTCCAGGCTTCAGTGTCACATGATTCTTCAGAAATCATTCTAATAATTCTAACTGAAACATTTCAGTTGTGCTGCCGAATATTTTTGTGGAAACAGTGATACATTTTATTTTTCAGGATTCTCTGATGAATAGAAAGTTCAAAGAACAGCATTTATTTGAAATAGAAATCGTTTGTAACATTATAAATGTCTTTGGATGTCATTTTGGATGAATTTTTAATGCATCCCTTGATGGATTCAAAAATGTATTCATTTATTTATTTTAAAAAAAGCATTTTCCTTACTTAAAGTAAAGTTAAAATAAAATAAGACTTAAAAAAATATATATATATTATTATTTTTTTTTTTTAGCATTATAAATGTCTTTACTTTCGATTTTAATCAATTTAATGTGTCCTTGCTGAATAAGTGCTAATTTCCTTTAAAAAAAAACTCTTCTGTAAAATATTAAATACTATAAAGACATAATAAGTGTTAATTTCCTTAAAAAAACATCATCCTTACTAGAAATAAAACTAAAATTAATCTTTAACTAAAATAAAATGTTAAAAAAAACATTTTATTTAAAGGCTAAAACTGTAATAAAAATATTAAAAACTGTCACGGTGCGTGTGGAGAGATGAAGCGAGGACTCAAGTGCAGGATGAATGGTTCTTTCTTTTAATAATAAAATGAAACAAAAACAAACTAAAACAACCCCGAGGGGGAAAAAAAGACAGGCAGGCTAGGAACTGCACTACATGCAGACATAACACACACAATGAAAAACGACGGATCAGCACAGGATTACAGACACCAGGAGAATAAATGGGAAACCAAACGAGGAGGCTAACGAGGGAGACACAGGTGGAGCAACTAAAACAATAATGAGGTAACAAGATGGGCGGGGCAAGACAATAGAAAGGAGAAAGCACATGGCAACAAACAAACACAACACAAGCCATGTGCTCACAGAACACAGTGTCATCTGGTGGCCATCCTGGGCACAACCGCTGAAGACTGTGACAGAACCCCTCCCCTAAGGAGCGGATTCCAGACGCTCAACCAAAAGAAATCCCGGAAGGAGGAGGAACGGAGGTGGATCAGGGGGAGGGATGGTGGGCCAGGCCCGTGTAGTGGAAGAGGGCCTGGAGAAAGAGGTAAACCAGGGTGCCAGGGCGCGACCGGCAGGGCAGGAGGCCAGGGCGGGGCCGGCAGCTTGGCAGGCAGCAAGAGCGGAGCCTGCCTCAAGGAGGGAGCCGGCAGGGCATGGAGCTTGAGCTTGGGAGGAGCCGGCAGGGCATCAGGCTCTAGGAAGGCCTCCCGGCCTTGAAGGATGGAAGAAGACTTCTTCCTCCTCCTCCTCCTCCTCCTCCTCTGTTTCCGAGAGAGTAGCACTGCAGCTTCGTCTGCCACCTCCGGGGGCACTGCCACCTCGGGGAAACAGCGAGCGGGCACCGCCGCCTCGGGGGAACCGTGAGCGGGCGCCGCCGCCCCGGGGGAAACGTGAGCGGGCGCCGCCGCTTCAGGAGCCTTGCGAGCTGACCACGCCGCTCGCACCGACATCAGCGGGGATTCCTGCACGCTGCGTATCAGCCCGGGACGCTCCGGGAACGGGCGTGAGGTACTGGGTGCGGCAGACTAGGCCTCTGACGCCCCGTGGATTGCCGCCACGCCGCTCGCACCGACATCGGTTGAGCCGCGTTCGAAGCTGTTGTAAATTACTCTACAAAGTAACATACACCTTTGTTTACGTTTGTGTGTTGCTTGAGGAGAGAGCACATGGCAACAAACAAACACAACACAAGCCATGTGCTCACAGAACACAGTGTCATCTGGTGGCCATCCTGGGCACAACCGCTGAAGACTGTGACAGAACCCCTCCCCTAAGGAGCGGATTCCAGACGCTCAACCAAAAGAAATCCCGGAAGGAGGAGGAACGGAGGTGGATCAGGGGGAGGGATGGTGGGCCAGGCCCGTGCCACAACTGTTTCTGAGGAACTACGTTGTTTGGTGGAAGAATACAGTTTTTATTTATATCTTTACACTTTATTTGCTCTGTTTTATTCTGTGAAACCTTTCTACGTATATGGAATAACCATTTTATAAAAGCAATAAGCCCCGTGAAGCCACACAATGAATTTATAACGGCTAAAGGGGTTTTAGTCACTCCGCTTCGCGTCGTACCTAACAACGCCCCTTAGCTGTTATAAATTCGCGGAGTGACTAAAACCCTTTAGCTGTTATAAATTCACTGTAAACCACGGCTTCTTGGGGCTTATTGCTTTATTAAAATATCCCCAAACTATTAAATTCTAGTGTAAGAAAGCCGACCCCAGAAGCAGTTAGTAGAGCTGTAGTTTAGCGTCATGTCTGTGAGATTGTCACTGATCTGTGGGAATGTCAGGCAGTGGACAGATGTGATGTTGGGTTGTCTGGGAGGCAGCTGCTTCTGTCCTCTGAAGTCTGAAAGAGCCGGATAATGCAGCCCATTGTGTGCTCGAGCCGAGGCTCTTTATCATCAGAGCTTTTGTCTGATCCAGCACACAGACTCTTACACTGACTGAATGTGAATGTGGATTCTCAGCAGCAGCGGCGCCTTCAAATATATGAGCTCACTTAGTTTAAATCAGATGTGAGCCAGAACCAGAGTTATTCTAGTATTATTTTTATGCTATTATAGTGTATGTATTAACATTTTTAATTAGATTTAGTTTTTATGGTTTCAGTTTTAGTGATTTTATTTTCTTCTTTTTTTATATTTCTCATTTATTTTTATTACAGTTTTAGTCATTTTAGAACTTCAAAGTAAGCTTATTGTAATTCAGTTAGTTGCCAAGGCAGCATTTCTAGCTTTCACTTAGTTTTAATAGTTTTAGTTAACAATAACAACACTGGCCATAACACATGTGTTGCTATGTTGTTGCTAGGACAGTCTTTTAAAATATTTTTATTTGGCTTTAATGTATTCTCATTTTAGTTTTAGTAATTTTAGTACTTCAACTTAAACTTATTTTATTTCAATTAGTTGCCAACAGCATTTCTAATTTTGTACTGATTCAATTTTTTGTTTTTATTCTTTTTTTTTTTTTATATTTCTATATTATATTATATTTAGCTATTAATTTATATTTAATTTCAGTTTTAGTAATTTTAGTACTTCAGCTTCGAATTATTTTCAATTTCTATTTTTCATGTAACTATTTTAAGTGTAAGTTTTAAATATATTTATATTTTAGTTTCCTTGAATTTTATTTCAATTTAAAAAAGTGATTTAAGTTTTAGTAATTGTATTATAATTTTTTGTTTGTTTTATATTTCTGTTTAGCATTAATTTATATTTAATTTTAGTACCTCAACTTAAACTTATTTTCTAATTTTCATGTAAATATTTTAAGTGTATTTTAAGTGTGTTTTTAATCTAATATTTATATTTTATGTTCCTTCAGCTTTATTTCAATAATAACAATAACAACAATAACAACACTGGCCATCTGGGTGGTTGCTAGGTGCTTTAAAACCCATATAAATTCCATAATGTGATGTTTTCAGAGTGAATCAGGATATTTAATGAGAAAAAAGTAGGACCAAGCTTAATTTTTGCATGTTTTTAATATGACAGGTGGTTGATACATAAGTCAGTTCTGACTTCATGTAGATTTCAGAAATCAGTTCATGCTATATTTTGAACCAAAGGACTATTTTAATAAGCATTTCCTGTCATATTTCTCTTGTATTTCCTGGTTTGTCATCACAGCAGATGTTCTCGCAGCTGACAGACAGATTTTAATCATGTGAGTGCGAGTCGTGCTCTCTCTCTCTCTCTCTCTCTCTCTCTCCGGGTTCATTGTATCTAATTAACATTTGGCCGCTCGTTCTTCTGAATAGGTTTGTTATGTGGCTGATGGGAGCGCAGAGGCGATGTGCCAGGATGAGCGACTCTGTGTGCTCTCGTTTTGTCACAGTCTCTTTAGGACTGCGTTTATCAACTGGTTTTGCTTCAAGATACAGATTTTCAGGAGCCAAAATAGTACTTTGAAAGAAGAGAAAGAACCTTAAAAACCAACATTGAAATGGCATTAGCATTAACTGCACAGACTCAGTGCTGACACTTTACATTATTAATATAAATTAACCTTTCTTAATGTATAAATAAATAAATGCTGTAGTATTTTTCATTGTTAATTCATGTTAAAATAGATAACTATAGTTAACAAATAAAACGCTATTGTAAAGTGTTACTATATTAATATTGTAATTATAAAAATACTGTAATAAGTATTTTATATACTTTTGTTTTTTGTCACTGCAGGTGATTTTCTATTGAATTAATCTGGATTTTCTCTTGCCTTGTGTGGTTTTATTATGTTATGTTTTTATTTAATCACACCGGGGTTATTTTAATATCATTGAAACGATACTGTATACTGTAATACTGTACTGTAGTTTTGGTTATTTAATATTTTGAATTAGTTTTTGTTTTTATATTTTGCTTTAATTTCAAGGTTTTAGTAATCTTGTAATTTTTGGTGATTTTTTTTTTTTTTTTTTTTTTTTTTTCCTTTTCTTTTCCTTTTTTTTTTCCAAGCCCACTCTAGGTTGAGAATTAAAGGTAGGGATTAAACGGTTAACAGTTTGATGATAAATTCCTGACAGTTAGTATTTGCATTTCATATTTTAAATACTGTATCATTAAAACCATATTTGTTTACTGCAATTTGAAAAAAAACTCATGGTAAATACTGTCCAGCATTTAGCAAAATTAGCAACACTTTTCACTTTTTTTTTGGTTGGATAATGTTAGTAGCTTTAATAAGCCCTCTAAACTTGAACAAAAGTTAGGTCTAAAAAATAAAACAGCTAATTTGACCTAAGGCAAAAAGGTCAATCTCAAAGATCACTGAATACTAATGTATTTTTTCATATAATAATGTAGTGAAGACTATACCAATTATTTGTTTCATTTTGCTTTTTTTTTTTTTTTTTATTATTCCTTTTCATTTCACTTTTATTTGACTGATTTAACAGGTTCATTTATGCTGAAGTACTGTAGAGCTTGATTGCATGCACAGACTTTAACATCAACATCAAGTGTTTTCTCCTCCCTTTAAAAGTTATTTTCACTATTTATATATTTAGTCTATTTATTTTACTATCCTAACATCAGTATTCACAGTTATATGGTTAGTTGCAATTTATTCTTTGCATTATTGCATTATTGCATTATTGAACTTTAAAGCTTCAGATGCACATGCTGCAGGGTGTTAAACATTGTTCTCTCTAAGAGGATCTCATCTTGATGAAGTTTTCTAGCAGCTCTGATCATAACTTCAATAAAGCAAGTGCACTACTTACGTTTATTCACATGAGGGCAGTGTGTCTCTTCCAGTGTACAAAAATGCTCAATGCAGAGTGACTGTTATGTCCAAAATATTAGCCTTTTTACTGAAATAAATAGACAGCACATTACACCAATTCACCTGCCATGTAGAAATGTTAATGTTTTATGCCTTCATTTGATTGCTAGAAAAATGTCAATACACAACACAGAATTTCTGGGGGGAATAATCATAGGGCCCTATTATAGGACTCTAATAAATTAAAGTGTTTTTATAGATTCGGTTAATTACACCTACTGTTTGATTATTACAATTTAATTAAAGTATTAAAATGGAATACAGAAAAAATTAAAATGGAAAACAATTTGGTAAAAATAAAATTAAATTTGTAAAATAAACGAATAATAACAATAAATAATTTCATAGGTCTCTAAAAATGTAATTTCTGTTAAACTTTTAATAAATTGTTCTTAAATTAATTTATAAGTTATGTGATTTTAATTAAGTAAACATGCCTTTTGATCATTAACATTTAATTTTAACCATTAAAACTGAGTCCAGAAAAATTAAAATGGAGAGAGAAAATTAAAGCTGAAAAATTGAATTAAAAAAAAAAAACAATTCATAGGGACCTCCATATATGTGACCATGGACCACAAAACCAGTCATAAGGGTCAGTTTTTCAAAATTGAATAAAAAGCTGAATAAATAAGCTTTCCATTGATGTATGGTTTGTTAGGATAGGACAATATTTGGCTGAGATACAACTATTTGAAAATCTGGAATCTGAGTGTGCAAAAAAATCTAAATATTGAGAAAATCATCTTTAAAGTTGTCCAAATGAAGTTCTTAGCAATGCATATTACTAATCAAAAATTAAGCTAATTAAGATAATCAAAATATCTTCATGGAACATGATCTTTACTTAATATCCTAATGATTTTTGGCATAAAAGAAAAATCGATAATTT